GTCAGTTGGGTATTTTCGTTTAAAAACCTCTAGGTTTTTAGCGCTTTAGGTTTTGTGACCTCTAACATATATTTTTATGTTCACTAGAATGTATACTACATTCTCCCATAGTTTTTAAGTCCATAACGTTAAGTAAAGTCAGTAGGATATTTCCTTTTAAAAAACCCTCGGCTTCTATTCCTTCTGGTTTTGTCAGCTATAACATATATATTTATGTTTGTTATAATGTATGCGATATTATCTGATAGTTTTTAAGTCATTAGCATATGTTTTGAAAGCTGGGTATTTCTACGCCACGTTCTGGTTTTTTGAACCCGTAAACTGTGTATTTTCAATTAGACGAATTTTCTCGAAATTATTCAGATACTTTTCGTGTCTATAAGGTATGTTTGAAAACTGGGTATTTTTTCATTATCTTTTGGTGTTTTCTGACCGGTAGCTGACATATTATCGTACAGTAGTATTTTGTAGAAATTTTCATATAATTGTCATGTCTGTATCTTATATTTGAAAATATGGAAATTGTTACATGACCTTTCAGTTTTTTGACGGATACCAGACATACTATCAATCAGTTAAGTTTGATCAAATTTCTGTGAAAGATTGTATATGTGCGTCTGTTATTTGAAAAGTTGAGTATTTTGTACATGATCTTTTGGTTTATTTTTTGATAGACACTGGACATATTATCAATCAATTAATTTTTGCAAAATTTCTTCGAAAGTTAATATGCCTCTATGTTTTATTTTAGCCAGTGATTATTTTTACATGAATTGTTTGTTTTGTTTTCGCAGTATGAGACTTACGATCAATCATTCGAATTTTCTTCAAATTTTCATATAGTGTTCATGGCTGTGTCTTATATTTGAAAAACTAGGTATTTATACCTTACGTTTTGGTTTTTTTTGACGGGTACCAGACATATGATAAATTGTTCGAATTTTCTCGAAATTATCTGATACTTTTCAAGCCTGTGTCTTATGTGTGAGAAAGTAGATATGTCTTTATGAGTTTTTTTTTAACCAGTATTTCTTATGTTATTATTAAGTAGAATTTAACAAATAGTATATGATTTTTTTGGTGTCTAGATCTTGTATTTGTAGAGTGCCTATGTCTGGTGGATTTTTTCTTGTTTTGTTGTTTTTAAGAAAAATGTTCCAGGAGACGAGAAGTTTTTGTAATCGATTTCCTATTTTCATAGACAGACAAGTACATGTGCTTAGTATACATATATATTTTGTTTTGTTGTTGTCAGCTACAGTTGTTTTGTAGAATAGTATGTACTGTTTTATGCATTAGAGTATTACCTGACAAATAGAATGTTTTCATTTCAAAGTTTATTATTTTGGAAGATGTTATATGTTTTAACACTGTTCAAAATACTTATTAGTATCTTGTTGATAGTTCAGTATGATGAAAAGGAAAATATATGACACGAAGGAAACAAAATGGTTTTGAACAAATATGTACATGTCAGGGAAAAGTCATGAGAATATCAACGACCATGAGAAGTATTGTAGAAGTTTCATTGGAATTATGTTGAATTTTTTTTTTTCAAGAAATATAGTCAATAATGTAGCCCAGTAGAAGTCACAGAGAGACATTGATATTTAATTGTTCACATCATCTTGAACATCCATTGGTTTATAAAAGAATTCATTGGGACCTATATAAAAAGAAAAAGAAATCAAAACACAATTTGTTCGACTCAGATAACTTATGTTAGAGATTTACCCATTCGATAAATAATGGCTCTTTGTTGCCAAAATGTTGCTGCACATTCATCTTCGTATGTGATTGGTTGACGTCCTAATGCTCCTTCGGGTGCACCTGGTTTGAGAAGAACAATTGCTGGTTGTTTGACGTCAATTTCTATTGTTTTTTCATATTTGTCGGTAGTCTAATATAAATTCGAAGACAAAGAAGAAAATAATTCAATGAGTGAAATGGAGTACTTACATTGGTAACACCGTTTTGTGTTAATAAGTGTGTTTTCAGAGGAAATCCTAATTCTTCAAATCGATCCCAATCAATATCATCAAAAATTAAATAGGAAGCCGAATCATTCCAAGTATCTAGTAGCCATCGTCCACTGAAAAAATTATATTGACCAGGTAAGGATTTAGCGAATGTTGTTTTTCCGGTGCCCGTTGGTCCAATTAGGATTAAGCATTTAGCTCGTGAAGTATGATGAAGTTCTTCTCGGATCCATCGATTGACGACTTCACCTAAAGTTTGGAGATATGAAAAATGTGAGTAGTTATACGTCATTTTTTTTCTGTGCTTCTTTTTTTGATAAAGGTTATACGTACGCAATTCTGATGTACAATCAGGAAATGATTCTGGCCACGCATATATTGGTTTGAGATTTTTCTTCATTTTCGCTTTTTCGTACAGTTCTAATGAATAAATTAGAGTAAATGAATTTTTATACCTAAAATTATAGATAGATAAAGGGAAATCATATCAATCATGACAATGTGATTCATACCATGTCGCATATCGAACGAATTCTGTTGCAATAGAATTGTCTCGCATGAATATTAATGCATCATGGACGCTTGATTTTGCTAATTCAATTGCTTGTCTTGCAATAAGTTCTTTAGTTTTGCGTCTTTCTTCGGCTTGTGCTCTTACCGTCGTCGTCGTTGTTGTCGTCGTAATAGTAGTAGTAGTAGTTGGATGATTAATAGTAATTGTAGTTGGATGTACAGATGTACTCGAAGCCATATGTGAAGAAGAGGATGATGGTGTTTGGGGTGGCCAATACTTTTGTCCCCCACGTGTTTTTGTTGATTTAAATTCATTAAATTCAATGCAATTGCCACCTTTCTTAATGTATTCATTCCAAGCACAATCATTTTGTGTGACTTGATAATTACAATGTGTTTCAGTTATATCATCAAGAAATGGTTTTCTTCGATCAATTTTTTCTTTGAAAATAATTTGTATATGTAAATGTCGCTGATGATTTAATTCACTTATTTCTTCACCAATACAAATATATTGAATATTTTCAATACCAAATTCTTCTTTAATTTTATTCATAACTAGTTCTTTCGATACATTTGTAAATGTTGTAATAGCAAATGATTTTGCTTCCAATCGAACAGTTGGTTTATTGGTTGCTGTTCCTGTTCCTGTTGGTACTTGTAAGTTAAAATGACATTCTTCGGCTATTGTTTGTCGACTAAGGTGGCCATAATCTGCATACGGAAGGTCATGATCATGAACAAGACCAGTTTGATTAACAGGTGGATAAGGATGTTGTGACACGGTTGAAATGATGGAAGATGTTTCTAATTGGTTTGGCACCATGGGGTCGTTATTATCACAGTTTATGGTTGGTCGTGTTGTTTCTAATATATCATTTAATTGTTGCATAATAATATTAGCAGCTACATTGCCATCTTTAGGTTGATCAGTTCGAATCACTTGAGTAAGTCGTTGAATTTCCTGTTCACGTTGCTGATCGAGAACTTCTTCATCGAATAATTGTTCATCGGTAACATTATTCAAATTTTCACTATTGTATTCTTCTTCCTCTTCTTTGCACTTGATATTTGGTGGTGCATAAACTTCGGATAACATTTGTGCATAAGTTTTTGAATCAATCAATGAGCCTGCTTGAAATAGACGTGGTCGTGTATCTAATGGTGATGGACTCATACTAATATTATCAATGGCAGAATACCGTACAGTGACATCTGTATTTGTTCCCTATTCAAAAAAGAAAAGAAAACGTGGTAAATAAAAATGCTTTCAAATATATTGATAACCTACCGTAGGCAACATTGTTGGACGAGTTAAACCTAATGGTTCAACAGGATTGTCCAATAATTTCTTTTGTTTATTTTCGTCAGTCGTTGAAGTATTATTATTCATGTTCGAGAATTGAGAATTACTTTCCATTTGAATTTAAAATCTTTGGTTGTATCTGAATTTTTATATCTGAAATGAAAGCTATTTTATGAAAATACAGTAATTCAAAAATTATCGAACATTCATTGTTCAAATTGCTGATAATCTATGGTAAATTTGCTGATAGAAAAACATAATAATTATTTATTAAAAAAAAGAAAAAAAAAATTCTAAAAAGGAAATAGTCGATGAGAATAGACGTTATCATGTAGTACTAAGATCATCTCCATTCATCTTTATTGTATAAAACACGTCTCTACACTCGTGGCACACTCTTGGCAGCACATCGACATAAACATTACCACCAAATGAAGACATGAAATTAAAGAAGAAAACAAAAAGGTTTTATTGTCATAACTACTTGAAAATTGAAAATTAATGTTGTAAACTATTCAGACGAATTCCGAGGACGTATATCACTCTCTAAACAGATTTGAAATGGAAGAAATATGGTTCCGCACTGTATAGAGAGAAAAGGCTGAATAAAATCGATAAATGAAATATGAACACACCTTTTACATGTAATACCGGTAAAGGCAAATGTTTCGCTCAGTAGAGCGTACAGTAGAAGAATCGATGTTGCTGCTGTTGTGTTAATCGATAAAATAAATTTTGTGTAGGAGAGCTAACCTATTTATACAGATGCTGAAATACATACGACAAGAAAAGAATAAAATAAATAACGACAAGAAAAAATGACGTACGACAACAAACTACCACATACGACATGAAACTATGATATACGACAATAAACTATACCACACGACAAGAAATCAAAAAAAAATTTACGAAAACAAATTGCGACAAGAAACCACGATATATGACAAGAAAGTATGATGCACAACAAGAAAGTATATTCTACAACAATAAACTATGTTATACGACAACAACCTTCTATATATGCCGATAAATTATAATATACGACAACAAAGTACTATAGATGACAACAAAGTATGATAAATGACAACAATCGATTGGAAACGACAATTAACTTAAGCAACATTCATCTTTGAAATGTTTAACATGTTTTCTTTTTGTTGAAAAACTTTTTTTTAAAAGTATTGATTGTAATTTATTTTCAACTCTGAAATTTAAACAGATACAGACGAAGAATTTGTACTATATGCTCGGATGGTTTTTATGTCTCTATTGTTAAGTAGAGTTCGTTGGGTATTTTCACTGAAAAACCGCTCGGTTTTTCGAGATTAGGGTTTTGTGAGTTTTAACCTACAGATTTATGTTTGTGATGATGTGTACTATATTCGCTAATGGTTTTTAAGTCTCTCTCATTAACTAGAGTCCATTGGGTTTTTGCATTTAAAAACCCCTAGGTTTTTCGAGATTAGGGTTTTGTGATGTTTAACCTATATATTTACGTTTCTGATCATGTGTACTATATTTTCTGATGGTTTTTATTTCTCTATTGTTAATTAGAGTCCGTTGGGTTTTTCCAATTAAAAAACCCCTAGGTTTTTTCTGAGATTAGGGTTTTGTGATGTTTAACCTATATATTTATGTTTGTGATCATGTGTACTATATTCTCTGCTCGTTTTTATGTCTCTATGTCTAAGTAGAGTCCGTTGGGTTTTTGCAATTAAAAACCTCTAGGTTTTTCGAGATTAGGGTTTTGTGATGTTTAACCTATATATTTATGTTTGTTAACATGTGTACTATATTCTCTGATGGTTTTTATGTCTCTATGTCTAAGTAGAGTCCGTTGGGTATTTGCATTTAGAAACCCCTAGGTTTTTCGAGATTAGGGTTTTATGATGTTTAACCTACATATTTATGTTTGTTATCATGTGTACTATATTGTCTGATGGTTTTTATGTCTCTATTGTTAAGTAGAGTCCGTTGGGTATTTGCATTCAAAAACCTCCGGGTTTTTCGAGATTACGGTTTTGTGATGTTCCACCTACAGATTTATGTTTGTTATCATGTGTACCATATTCTCTGAAGGTTTTTATGTCTCTATTGTTAAGTAGAGTCCGTTTTGTGTTTGCATTGAAAAACCCCTAGGTTTTTGCGAGATTAGGGTTTTGTGATTTTTAACCTACAGATTTATGTTTGTTTGATGTGTACTATATTGTCTGATGGTTTTGTAAGTCTCTATCATTAAGTAAAGTCCGTTGGGTATTTTCATTTAAAAACCCCTAGGTTTTTCGTGATTAGGGTTTTGTGATTTTTAACCGACATATTTATGTTTGTTATCATGTGTACTATGTTATCTGATAGTTTTTAAGTGTATGGCGTTAAGTAAAACCAGATGGGTATTTTCGTTTAAAAACCTTAAAGTTTTTAGGCCTTTGGGTTTTGTTATTTCTCACCTACATATTTGTGTTTGTTATAATGTAAACGATATTATTTGATCGTTTTGAAGTGTATATCTTTAAGTGAAATATCAAATTATTATTAAGCAGTTTTAGATTGAAATTGTCGACACGACGCGTTTGTATTAGGGCTTAATCTGATCTTCATCAGGCATGTTCAGAACTTATAGTTTCATAATATATCAAAACTCACTGAAATAAAGGAGGTAGTAAAGATTGAAGAACATAAGAACAAAATGTTTATATTTAATAATTTAAATCTAAGTTTTGAAGTTCAAACCATCACACGACACGTTTCAGTCAGGGTTTAAACCTGATCTTCATCAGGCATGTTTAGAACTTATTATTACATAATACTAGGTCAAAACTAGGGTGTGGATGTTGATGTATGGTTAGAAATAGTTGCCGTTTGGCGACAACAGTTGGTTCTGTGTTGACTGGACTTCTTCAGGTGGAATTCTTAATATTATTAATGCACAGGCAAGTAATGATTAATTTAGTTAATTACATTTCAGTTGCATATTTTCATGGAATTGTGATTAGGCGGATTGCCACATAGAAAATTTTGAATAGAATCGTTCGGATAATGTTTAATATATTCATTTCTTTAGATTTACGTATTATAAAGAAAGTCGAAACATTTATGGGTACTATTGATGTTGTTTTATTGTGTTTGATTTATATTGTTTCGACTATGATTTGAACAATAATTTTTGGCGGATCGTATCTTTTTGTTGTAGTGTCTTCAGTACACCATGAACGGTGGTAAATCAGTAGATTTTTTTCAAGAAATCTCCAGTTATGCAGTCTGCATCAGGAAGCGGAAGCACTTGTAAGGATTTGAATTATTTTTCTATATAGTTTCTGGTATGGTTTACGACAAAATTGATGTTTCTTACTTGAATATCAGGAAATTTGTTCGAATTTCTTTCTTTTTGGGTGAAACATTATATTTCAATCGATTTGAAAGTAACATTACCTAATTTTCTGTTGAAATAAGGTGATGGATAGAATAACTATATGTTAGTGTAACTGTTGGTCTAAGATGCCTTTTTAGCCTTCTAATGATAAAAAAGAAAAGTGTTGTTGACCTAAATGGAAAATGAGGAGCAAAACCACGAGAATACGAGTTTCTATAGATGAAAATTCTGTGGCCCTTTTCTGCAATTTAAAAGAGTCTTATCTAATAGGCACTAACACTTCATGGGTGAACAGTGTGGTGTGATTTCGACTCAAGAACTGTATGTATGAAATCATGCAATTAAATTCGAAACCTGATACGACGTTTCGCGTTCACTAAGGAGACCGAGCGGATATAGGTAGAATGTAAAACTGGATAAATTTAAACGAAAATAAATCGTTAATTGAGTCGTAAATATTCAAATCTAAAGTAAATCATTTGATTTAGCTAAAAATCAGCTCAGAAATGAGACCTTACCCATTTTAATATAAACTAGGAATCATAGGTAACTCATTTTTGTTGATTAGAAAATCAAGTTGGCTCATTTCAAAATACTCATCGAAAAGTCATTAGTTTCTGTTTGAATGACGGTGTCTGTGAAGGTAAAAATGTAAACCGTTGTTTCTCTCATTCTCAATGAGTCTTACACTCACCATTAACGTGTTGTATCCTTGTTAGAATCTTCAGTTTACGGTTCAAAACATTCCCTGACTGAAACATTTTATTATGTGGACAGAGCCATATCGTCGTTTTTTTGTGGGGATTCTAAGTGTGGAACGAAGCATCGACCGTAACAGAATCCAAGATTATATATTGAGAAAAATTTTCGAGATAGGACCATGGTAAAATCGCAAAAAGATATAGATTAACCTTGAGAAAATCGCTAAACTCAATTTATCAGGATTTTATATAGGATCCTGAATAAAATCTTAGCGACTTTGTGTCTAGCAGGATGGTTATGCATCCTTTTGGTGATCCTTCACGAAAAGAAGAGAAGGTTTTCAGAAAACTGATATTACGCTTGTGAGTGTAGATCGACACAACTCTAAAGTACAAAGTTTAAAAGGGTAATTTTCAAGTGTCACGGAACTTTTTGTTATCATTATATTGGTAACACACAAGATAACGTTATTGCATAGATATAAGCAACAAATCCAACAAAGTCAATTATTTTTTTCAAAACTGTTACTGTAACGAAAGTTTAAAATTCAACATTCTGGTCCTTTCTAGTGAGTACTAAATGCCATACAAGTTTGACGGTTGACTACCTTTTCGATTTTATTTCAAAATACTAACCCACAACAGCTTTGTTTTTTTTTTTTCTTTCGTAACTCTCCAAAAATGTTCTTATCTGTATGAAAACTGAAGTGTAAAAGAAAATGTAATTCGGAAGAAATATAATAATCGAAGAATATCATCAGATGTCATTGGGACAACAACAAAAAAAAATTAAAAAAAAAAACCCAGAGAAGAAAAAAGATAAACGAAAAGCATAAGCAACATTTACTCGATATATATATACATTTAATACTTTCGAGTGAAAGCGTCGCATTCAATATAGGCTTCTCTGGTATTCTACAGTGTTAAAATTCTAAGCACAGTAGGACAAAAGTGAGTTAGTTGGTGTAGATATTATAAACATCCTTTCAATTTAATGGGAGTATATACTGTATCCGTTTTGAAATTTTAGAACCATGTCTCGTGATTCTGTTCCTCGCTATCCAAATAATAACGGAAAGCAATCATCAAAACAGAGCCAAGGCGTCGGCAATTCGTTGACAATGCCCGATGGAAGTGTTGAACATTTATCAAAAAATCAAATATCTCCAAAAAATTATGCGGTGCCCACACAACGCCCATGGCGATATACAACTATCAATAATGTCAAAGTCGTTTACAATATACAAGATGCAAAAAGCTATATTCAAAAGATGGCTGATAACTTAGAGATTAATCAGCATAGTGGTAGCTCTGAATTTATTCAATCCATGTTGCAAACCGTGCAATCTATCTCTAAGCCATCAGATGGGCCTTTTGAACACATTTTTGATGGTGCTCATGAAAAATGTTATATACTTGTGTTGATTCAAACCAAAGTAGATCGTATCGAAATTGGATATTCTTATCATTCGATAACAGATGTGGCCTCCAACGATAGTGCAAGTGGGGATGTAGTCATGCCTAGTGCAAATACATTTGATTGGTTTAAGGCAAAAGCACGTGAAAGTTTAAGAATACCGGCAGGAGTTGTTAGTCATATGATCAATAACAAATCCACAATGACTCGATTTCAGAATCAACAATTATCAACATCACAAGAACAAAAACCAATTGTAAAATTCATTCATAATAATCAAGAATATCATTCTACAGGTACGCCTGTACATCCACACTCCGATAATCTTGACAGCATGATGGATTAGGTGGGTATGAAAAGGACAATTTAGTAACAGTGGAAACTGTTACCCACAAGATGTTTTTTTGACATAAAAGAAGCTTTTTATAAATTATCTAAACTAGAAGAACTGCACTTTCGTTGAACCATGTTTCTTTACATTTTCATTTCATACAATTTAGTCACCATGGTTCCCATTATTGTTTACGTAAAAATAAATCAATCTTGTACTGCTTGTTCTTTCATTATTCAATGTTCATTGTGTATGATATCGTCTATACGTTTCCGTTTCGGTTCTTTGTAACACATCTTTAACATCTTTTTTTTTTACATTTTAGATTATAGACTGAAGGCGTTTTTTGTGTGTCTGAAATGTCTGATCAAACGATCACTATTCGGCGATCCTATGTTAGGGAATGTGAACGGTTTTGGCGAGAAGCACCAGTAAAATGGACACATAATAAAATGACTAATTCGAAAACATTAACAAGTGTTTCAGACGCACAATCTTATATTCGATCCTCATCAAGATCATGGGACCTCAAGGAATCAGAAAAGAAAGACCGAATGTTTTTGAATCAGCTATATACCAACTGTGAACATGCAGGTGCATCTGCGTCTGAATATTTCACGGCTCAATATTGTCCTGGAAGTCAACAAGGGTGTTGCAAATATATCTTAACTGTTGTTTACAATAACAGTGGTAAGATAACAGTCGGTTATTCATATCATGACATAGAAGAAGATATGCGCGGCTCGAATTCTGTCTATACAGAGTATGCTGAAAAGATAACCGAGGACTGGTTGAAATCAAAATCAATGGAGAGTCTCAGCGAAATACTACCGAGTCGTGCATTGCCATCAATCATTTGGGTGTGACGAATAGTAACTTTTTTATTTATTGCTGTATCGACATATCTTATTTTTTCTTACCCCTGAAAAAGTTCAGTTTTATGAAAAATAAAAATTTATTCAAATGTGATTGAAATCATAACAAATGATTTAATGATTGCATAATAAATGACCTACTTTCATATATATTTTAACTTATGAACTGCATTGGTAATATACTGCTATCTATGTTATTTTGATTTTTCTTACAGATGGCATCTGATGACGAATAGGCAATTATGATTTCGAAAAATTATACGGATGCCAATTTATTCTGCTTCATGTAGATAAAAATATCTAATTCGAATTTCTTTATAGGCTTGATAATTCTTAGAAAATAATATAAAAATAAGACATTTTTTAATTGTATTTCATCAAATGTTAAAAATTATTTATCATGATCATTGAAAAGAAAAAAAAATAACAACCGAAATTGAAAGCATCGCATGGCGTTTTGTCCTTGCATTAGGGACTCATATGGAATCCTGAGAATTTATTATTGCTTGCATGAATAAAAACAAAGAAATTGATAAGATTTTATGTTGATCATAACCTAAAGGTAGCAATATACATGTCGAGTATCTTTAGTTAAGCAATACCAATTCATAATAATTTGAAAGTATAAGACAAGTTTTATATCTCTCCTACTGAGCAATATTATGGTAAAAAGTTTCAAAAAATAAATAAATAAATAAATAAAACTTCCAATATAATAGTGAATAGAATCGAATGCTATGAAGCAGGTAAGAAAAATTCGAATAATGCATCAAAAGATATCCTCCGTCCATTGATGCATGAAGAAATACTATAACCAAGATTTTGACTTTACTGAAGATTCCCCAGTAGCGAAATTCGAAATGTAATAGCTACACATAGATGAAATTTGAAGGAAATAGAAGGTTCCGAAATCAACTCTATTGTACAATAACAACAATGTACGGAGGAGAACAGATAAGTGTGCTAATTTCGCGTGTAGGACACATGGAGTTCCATGAACCGAGGCTTCATTTTTGGAATACACATCTTCTGAAAATTATATAAATCAGTTCTGATTTAGACCGAGAACACGGCGCCATTATCATGATACAATCATACTATACACTCATTCGTTTACAGCGTCATAATGTAGATGACATATGCCGAGAATTATCAGTTCTCAAAGCTTATTGTAACATCACACAGTGATGGAAAAGACTCATATGGAAGATGAAAATTGCGTTGTGTAACTATTTATTTATTTAGTTTGAAGCTGTTTTTTCTCATGTTTTGATATAGTTATCAATGGATATTTCCTTTTTTTGTAAAAACGAACGGTAAGCGTCACTGTCTGTTATCGAAAGAGAACGAAAAAGATAAAAATTCATCATCCACAAAAAGTTCTTTGACAACAACAACAACATCTATGTTATTAAAAAGAAAACAATAAGAACAAAAAAGAGAGAAACATCAACGGTAGTGTTAACCGTCTATATAGTTGCCATGTACTGCAATACATTTCTGAATTCGTTCCGGCATTGAGAAGACAAGTTTTTTACATAGTTCTTGTGGAATGGATAGCCATTCAGTGGACAGACTGTCATTTAGTTCTTTAACTGAACAGACTTCTTGTGATCTCAGTCTATTCACAATGATAGCAAACAAATTTGCAACTGGATTAAGGTCAGGACTTTTAACTGGCCATTGAAGTACTTTTGCATGCAATTCTTGCAATTTAGCTTCAATTTGCTTCGATCTATGAAAGTCAGCAGCACTATCATATTGAAAAATAAAATTATCTTTCAAATCATATAACTGTACAGTTGGGACCAAGTAATTGTCCAGAATATCACAATAAACATCACTATTGATCTTACCACTGTAAATTTTACAACAACCTGTTCCTTGCCATGTGATAACGCCCCAAAATCCAACATGATCAGTTCGATCCGTAGTACAACTTTCGTTCCATTGCTCATATTTTCTATGGCAGATATTCGTCTCACATTTGGGTTGGATAACGTAAGCTGTTGATTCATAGCTAAATAAGACCTGTTTCCAATCATCAACACACCAATTAGAGTGCTCCAAACACCACTGAAGTCGAGCTTCCTGTACATTTTTCTCAAGAAATCGTTTGTTGATCGTCACTTTGTATTGAAAATCACATTGTTGGAGGTAGTTGATAGTTGTTCTTCTACAGATCGATTTCTCTAATGATTCATTTATTTTTGCGATGATATTATGAGTCGAACTTTGTTTGTCATCAACTTGTGTTATATCTTGAAGCATCCTAATCTTTTGTTCATTTGATTTTTTTGGTCTACCAGAACGGTGACGATCTTGAAAACTACCAATTTCTTCAAATCTTTCTAGAGCACGTTGAACCGAAGCTCTGGAAATCCCAAGATTTGTGCCGATTGCTCGGTAAGACATACCAGACTGTCTTAGCGCAACACATTGAGCTCGTTGATGTTCACGAACATTTTTTTGTATCATTTCACTCTGTTTTATAAATTGTTTTACTGAAAATTAATCTTCTGATTGTAGTTGCTGTACTGTGAAAGTCTAATATATTTGATTGTTGAAAACTCTCACTATGACTAACGAAGATGTCATCGAAGATTTTGCGACTGCTCTGTGGACGGCTTTTTGTTTTTGTTTTTGTAACAGAAAACTAGTGGTGTTTAGCCGTTTCACTAATATATGAAAGATTTACCTGGTAATCATTTTAAATGAAAACCCTTGATGTTGTAGCTTCATATTCATACTGGGTTCGATCAGAATTATTCAAAGGTTAGCTCTATTTTTCTTATAAAAATGTCTGAATCATGAAAGAAGTGAGGCCATAGAATTTGAAAATCCTCAAATCATTTATATCAAGAGTCAATCCGGATCCTATGTGGCTTACCGTTAGTATTGAACTAAAAATTGTTTAAGAAACCTCGAAATTCTCAAAGATGCATTTTAAGTCACGAAACTTTGAAATTCAATTTGGATTTAATCAAGATGCCCTCCTATTCATTCGTTGGTTCTACTATAAGAAGTCGGCTCAAGAAATCATAAAATCCTGAAAATAAAAGTGTATAGCCACCCAATATCAAAATGTTAATTTGTTTTTAAATGAGTTAGATCCGTAACCTCTTCGATGCACCACTAGGCTTGGAAAAAGGAATCGGTTAGCAATCCCTGAATTTCGTAAAGGAGCATATAGTCGTAGAATTTTAAGATCCTGAGATGATTTAAAACAGCATTCAATCAAGATCATGATCAGTTTATCACTTGGATTAGAGTCTGAAATCTGTTCGAGGATCCATAAATCGTAAAAGAAGTGTGCAAAGACAGCTATATTTTTAAGATTTTCGTACAGATATTTTGTGAATCTGACCATGGGATGTGTGCATCCGTGCGTTGGTGAATCTCTGCTCAGATAATCGTAACTCATACCTATATTGGCATTTTCAGATAGTATGCTTCGCATGATATTGCTCTGATTTTGTTCGAAATCTTCATAGGATCCTCGCTTCAAGGTTCAGCATATATCCTGGAAAAAAATTGATATTATCTTAGCAGAGCTTTAGCTACGATTCATGTGAAGATCCTACGTAGTTTACGTACTAAATCTTGATTGGACGCTACATCCTTAATAAATGATAAAGCAAAACATCTTCACAGGTTCTTGATCAAGCCGTCACAAGAATCGTATTTTATCGTAATATATCTTACGAACTAAAAATACCAAAATTTCAACTAGAATTCTAAATAGAACAACAGAGGTGCTTCCCGTCCACGTTCAACACAGATCCGTTCAAGAATTCTCCATGAATAGACAGGTTTGAGAATAGGGATATGAAACATAGAAAGAACGTTTGAATGAGCTTAACAAAAAAAAAAAAACGAAGTTATTAACGTCATTTTTTAGGTGTCACGGAACTTTTTTTTGTTGCCTTACGGTATCTATCACACACAACAGAACGCCCTTGGATAGGTAAAAGCGAAAAATCCAACAAAATTCAACTTATCTTTAAAAAATATTGATGTGACGTAAGTTAGAATCCAATGTCGTTTTCTTCTGAGTACGTACCTAAGGAAATATTACAGTTTGACAATTTAATAGATCTTCGATGTTGTTTTATAAGAATGATTCGAAATGGTTTCTTT